GGGGGAGATCACGGAACCCTCGAGAGGGCCATATGAAAGTCTCTTCTACGGTGTCGCGCAGCCCTCTCCCTGGTGTGCACTTATGCACGCTGCTGCGAATACTCATGAGATATGAAGGTTGAAGGGGAGGTCCCAGGAATAGGAAACCGGAGCCAGTGCATGAACACTGCTGTATGTCTACGACTCACGCTGCGGATCCGTAGGTCGACCAGACCAGATATGCTACTGCTGCACAGACCAACCTCTGGCAAATACTTGGTATCGGCGTAGAGCAGATTATGATGCTAGGAATAGCACGCATCTATCAGGCGGAGAGATGCTCTACAGAGCTACTGCAGCGACAGGGGGCTGCCGTAGCGTAGTATGGAATGGGTATTGTAGTCTTTCTGTGTGTGTTTTTATTATTCCTTAATTAAGTATTTGTACAGTAGTGCGGCGGCAAAGGGACACAAACTACAAACCGTTATTTGGTTCTAAACCAAACCAATAGTGAACGCCTCCAGCTAGCCAGCGTCCAACCGATGACCAGACCAGTGCCGCGTCTCCGACCTACCGGGCAAAGAGAGAGGGAGACGGAGAGAGGGAGGGAAAGAGAGCGCACGAGAGAGAGCATGGCTGAAGGGGGGTGGTTACCGTGGAAGGAACAGAAGATGGACATTCGACCGACGCCGGGTGAGTGATTTCTTGTATTACATGGCGCGAACCCGACAATAACCAGGCAGCGGGCTCATCATGGAGTCAGCACGATGTTACAGCAGTAGCACCTTCTCCCATCAGGGTAACTGTCACGGATTCCGCTACGGGAGATATGCTAGCACGCCTAGCGGGTCGTGGAGGACAGCTGGATGTTCCGCAGATGATCAAGCTGCTCCGTAACCCACGGAAGCAGGATGCAACGAACGCGCGCTATAACTTGAAGCGCTCCTTCTCTGGGTGTGCGGTATGTATCCATACAGCAGTGTAAAGCAGCAAGTAAGTGTCTAGATACCCGTATGCGTCAACCTCCGGTGCGCCGACTGAATGACATCGCATCGATGTCCCTTCGGATGGTGCAGATTTAATAGGCACCATGGCTGCCGTACTTCTTTCTTGCTAATATCCAAAGGTAAACGACAAGAATGAAAACGGGCTATCGGGTTGTTGCGTTGTTGCGGACAAACTCCCACTTCAGCATCGTGCCCGCTCTGCTACAGGGCTCAGCGGCTGATTCGTTTGTTTGTTTTTCGGGATGACCCTCTTCCACCATGTTCCCACGGGCATTCAGGACTTCTTTCCGATGCACTCGTTTGTTATCCGGAGGGACGAATCCAAAACTGACATCTACTGCATGGTGAACCAGAGAACATGCTGTACAAGCAGCATGCGGAGGGGGCAAGGAAAAAGTGCCCGTTCGAGCTTTTGTACAGAAAGGACAGCTGTCGCTACCAACGAGCGACAGCTGATGGATGTAACTGTCGTCAGACGTGTGCTTCCACGGGCGGAAGTGCGTACTGAGAGGCGTATTCCTACGTGTCGACCCCCCAAATAACCGAATCGATCGGTGAATAAATGCAACGATCGGTCAAAAAAACATAGGCGCAATCGTTTCCTGTTGCTGCACGCCTTGCTTTACTACACACAACAGGCCAAATTGGCTTTATTCACCATATTGTTGTAGAGCGGTGGTACAAGCACAAAAACGAGCATCAACCCAAAGGACAGCACACTTGTAAAGACCCTGTCCACCCGGCCTGCTGTTTTCAGCGCTGGGGGCAGGGAGCAGTGTCACAAACTGGGTGTCGCCTGCGATTTCCTCAAGTCCTTCCGCTTATTTTTCCTGTGGTGCCTTATTTTTTACCGCTCCCTGTTGAAAGGCACATAGACGAAGTCAACAATCATAGAGAGGCGGTGGAGCTGAGGGTCAGTATCATATACATGACCAATCCGAAAGAATCAGCGTGTCGGAGGCCCTAATGCTCTACAGCTGCGTGGTGCCGTGGGTTTGTGGGGGCTGTGTCCGACCCAAAACAGGCCATCTCACCGCATTTTTTCAAACGGCAGTTTGGCGAGGTGGCACACATGTCTCACACGACACCTTCTAGAGCAGCACCCAAGCCCCCAATACCCACGAAGCAGCACAGCGCCGGGAGTGAGGATGTTATAGACAGCCGAACAGAAGGAATCAGCGTGTTGGAGGCCTTGGGGCTGCTGCTGTCCTCATTCTACTGTTTCCGTGTTTGTCACGTGTGGTACAAAAAATCCCCGCGCGTCAACAGCAGCAGCAGCAGTCGTAGACGAGGGCACCATGCAATGTCTCGGTTTGGACAAACAACGACCCCGACGCGGTTTTTACCGCTGTTCTATCCGCTGTGCATGTGTCGCTGTGCCCGCTGGGCGTGTGTTATCTCCTTCGCGTGTGTGCCTGTGCGTGTGTTCTGCAGCTGCACTCTGGTGTGTGCTCCAAAAAAAAAAATGTGCTGACCCCCTTCATAATCAAGTGATGTGTGCATATAGTCTAAAACCTAAATAAAGCGCGTACAGACACGCAAGATTTTTTGGGGGTCAGCGAGCCCTTGCAACCCGGGGGGGCGGCAGTCCAGATTAGAACTCTCGCTTCGCTCGAAGTACGCGACGGACCTTCGCGAGCGGTATCAGCCTAGACTATGTACCAGTAGTTATAGGATGCAAGCAACATAGCCATCTTGGGGACCGCAAGGACGTGGTGTCTAATTGAATTTTGAGTCCAAGTTTCTACCATGTTGTACTACACCCTTGCTCTGTGGGTGTGGCTACCTCCGCTCCAGCCACCAATAGGTTGTTGACGATCAAGCACAATATAAGTAATGACTGCATGGCATGTGTTGGGTAGGACTGGGTTGGACTGGGCTCCAGCGGGGGTCGATGTTGGATTGTCGTTCCTCGAATTCGCTAATGTTCTTCATGGTGACAAGCAAGGGACAGCACCCCGTATTCCGGCGAAGAGAGTACACCTGCCATGTTACACAAACTGGGGGGGGGGTTCTGAACAGTACTCAAGTACCACCGGCACACGCCAAGTCTACAAAGGCAGAGTTGGTCCGAGGTGAATCATCATGTGCAGCATTCCAACCTAAGCCTACTTTCAGTTGTTGGACATCTCGTGCTTCTGCGAAATCTCTGCTCAGCTGAGCATTCTTCTGAGCTTCGCTGAACCAAGTGTACAATACGCTTCGAGGTTTTGGTGTCGAACCGTGTCTTGGTGACTGCTCGTTTGGTAACTGTCGTCACGCTCACGCGCACCTTGTTCAGCTCTCGTGCGTGTGTCGTTCTTGACATTCGGTTTGATTCCGCGTGCTGATTACTTTTTCATCGTTCAAAAGTCCCCAGTACTTATTGTGGCTGATCGTGCGCGTTTTTTTTTATTATTTCAGACTACAAGGAGTTAGCCAAGCCATTGAAGCCTCCTCCTCACGGCCTGGCGTGGGAAAAGCTGGACGATGGCACTTGGGAACTCCGGACAACAAGGGTCAGGAAGGCAGAGCCGTCTCGAGAAGAGCAAGAGCAAGGCGGTGCTAAGACAGAGAAGGGAAAGGAAGAAGGTATTAGCATCACCTTCGCCTTCTCTCACACCATTTTTTCTTTGTTGTGTGTATTGCCGTGCACACGTAGGACGCCAGTACTCGAATACCGCCAGGTCGAAATGAAGCGTGCAATTTTCTTGTTCGCCTAGACACATGGTGGCGTTTGGTTTCAAAAGAGAAAAGACGTTAACCCTTTTGAGTCTTCAGGCGTTCTCACTGATCATTGATTGATCATTTGCAAATGCTGGTGTAGTGGCAAGTCGTGGAGTTGCCGCCCTGCAGCCCTTCGCGCCGTGTATTGGCAAGTCCATAGGTAGGTGTGTCTAGATTATTAGCACCCGCGCTAACCGGCTGACCAATGAAGAGACTTCAGTGACAGCGGGTAATGTCAAGGTCTCAGGAATGGGAATGGGGCCAATCAATGCCAAATCATGAATCTCTCAACGTATGCACATGTCAATGAACGCGTGTGTGCATACAGTACATACATACATACATATGTGTTCTTTCGCAGCACCACACATACACTCGCCCGAACGTAGGAAGCCACTGCTGCAAAGAGCAGAGGACAGCAAAAGGGAGGGGTACTGCAGTCCCTGCCGAAGCCCAGATATCGAGGATATCGTGGTTCCCAACAATTTGAAAATCGTTCCGAAGATCCAGCAGTCATTGTGTCAACAGCTACAACGAACGCTACAACAACACTACTACTGCTGTAGACGAGTAAAACATATCAGCAACACATCCACACTCGTAGCGCCACACATACCACCCTCGCCCGAACCTAGGAAACCACGAGGTACAGGTGTGTGCTGGTGGATGTGCTTGTTGTTTGAAAAACACAGGAGCTCTAGAGAGTTGGCAGGGCACATTTCGGGGGGGGACAGAGAACAGAGAAGTACAGAAGTACAAATACCAGCTATGGGTCTTCACTGATCATTTTGCCCTCTCTGGACTGATCATTTACAATATACCGAAAATAGACTAGTTGAGGCAGCTAGACGACTGATCATTTCAAAGGCTACACAGCTAACCTGCCCTACTGACCGCAGCGCGACCACCCACCAACCCTTCTACGACCCTGTCTGTGGCCACCACCCTGTCGCCGGCTTCTCTCATGGCCTACAGGGGGAGATAGCTGTTGCGTGTGCAGAAGTACACTGGTGTCTTTCTCTGCACTTCTCTCTCTCCCGCTCGCTCTCGCTCTCATTTTTTTTTTTTGGCGCAAAAAAAAAAATCTGACAGTCCAGCCTAGACCCAAAGGGGTTAAACATCAAAATCACCGGAAAGCTTTCCAGGCACCTATAACCTGACATCGATATTTGGTCGTGATTTGACTTTGTTGTTCGATAGGAGTAAAGGCTGTTACCTTTGTTTTTTCTCAACACCGAGGGTTTTCATTGTTTTTCGTGATTCCGCTGTTCCTACTTTCCCAGGCGCAGCTGGCAGAACCTCTTTTCTATGTACAACAAGAGAAGAGCGAAGCGAATTTTCACAACACGCTCGAACTTGTCGGTTTCACGTGTTTGCCTGACACATGGACACAAACCAAGCGCTGAATCGAACAGTATCCTGTGTCTGACGCCGACCATGATGCCTCTCGTAGTCGAAACCTCCGAGGTATTTCTTGAATTTCAATGTTATGGTATCTTGTTTTGTCTCTTTGCTCTCGCCTGCCTGTTTTTTTTTTTTTTGTCGTTTTGTGTGTCGCGTGGAGCGCAGGCGGAAACGAAGATCCCGCCCCCGAGTTCCTCGAGCACGTGGTTCTACCCGATGATACCCTCGTCGGCATCTGCCTCAAGTATAAGGTGCGAGAGGGGAACAAGTGCGAAGGCTTGGTGGTGTATTCTTTCAGCATTGCTCTTGTCGCTGAGCCATCGCTTACAGATAAAACCGTTGCTGGCCAACGTTCCTCAGCAGTGCACGGTTGCGGGGAAGTTTCCTAGGCCTTTGTCGCGATAATAGCGAAGGCATGCACCATGCAGGGGAATCAGATGTTTTTTATCTCCCTCGCAGCGTTGCAGGGTTGCGAGGCAAACCGATTGTCCGACGAGTACGCAGTGCGTGTTGTTCATGGTCCTGAGTCAGTCTGCCCTCCAATCGTTTGACCTTTTCGCTTTGTGCAATCTTGGCACACATGATCTGCTTTCCACGATTGCCGCTGATAATCACGCCACAGGTGAAGGATCGCGAGCTGCGGAGGCTAAACGGGTTCGTGGGGGATCACTTCCGGATGTGCGATGTCCTCATCGTTCCGAACAGATTTTCTCCTGGACAACAGGTAGCCGAGGCGCCCGCATAGAGCAGCAGCATCAGCAGCAACAACAACAACCGTAGGAGCGGTCGTGATATTGAAGTCGGGTAGGCTTTGGCGTAGTCGTTGAACTATGTAGTACTTTGCTTTTGATGGCGGCGGCGGTGGTGGTGGTCGTTGAATAGTGGTGTGGTACCAGTACCGCTGACAGTAGTGTATCAATAGACGAGAGATTGCATGCTATTGACGCAACAAGATTGTCCCTACCCCTTTGTGAACACGATCACTTGGGCTAGGCAACAGGAAAATCATGTTGGCTTGTACAATCTAAATACGGAGAAAACATTGAAGGGAAAGACCATCACAGGCGGTCTGTGTTGGTAGGAGAAACAGAGGCACTTCGTGAATGACAAGACACGACGAGTTCCCCCCGACAATCACAAGCTTGCGTATGTTTATTTGTCTCAGGAGTGGTGATGTGCAAGGTGTTTATGTTGGACGGATGCAGCCAACTCATCATCAGCTCTCCGAAACCCGCTCTGTGCTCGGCGCTCCGTGCTCTATTAGCCTTGCGCGCCCTGTGCCGCCCTTATATTGGAATGCATTCATGGATGCATTCATGGTATTAAGCAAGCTCCGCCCCTCCATCCCCCTACCCTCGATGTCATCTCCCGCCTCCCCCCCTCCTGTAACAGCCGATCCAAGGATCCGGCAAAGAGCGCATGTCTAGGAATGATATGATGCAGGTGTTTCGCAAGGATTCCCAGCTTGGTACCGAGGAAACGAGGTTTTACCTCGAGAGCAATGGGTGGGAGCTGTCCAAGGCCTTGGCTCAGTGGAGCGCGGAAAATCGCTGGGAGGCGGAACAGTGGGCCGGGGTGAGACGTTGGAGAAGGGGATCGGGGACCGGGAATGGGAGGGTTGCCACGAGTGCATTTTTCCACGGGTTTTTGGTTGGCGACATCGTTGCACTTCTTGTGTTCGGTCGACCCTCCTCCTGTTTTCCTCAAACTTGGAGACATACTTGTTGGGGGCAACGTCTTACTATGAAGGTGTTCGCAGTTGAGAAACGCGTCGACCGCGATTGCCCATACGTGATGGCCATTGATTATCCCCCAACGGGTGGATAGGCGTCGGGATGAGTCGCTTGACGGAAACACGCTGGTCTCAACTAGCCACTGGTATTTGCCACTGATGTCGCACTGTTTGATAGTGAGGGTATTCTCTAGCATACCATGGTAGCTGACATGCATGCATTTGCTGATGGCAGGTCAACTCGATCAAGCCCACATCCACCACCAGGCGGCATGCCAAGCAGCAAGAACAACAAGGCCAATTTCCTGTAAGCCCCCAAATGTTCGCTTTTTTTTTCGTGATAGACGTTGTGTCTTTTTCTTCGTTTAGTTTTCTTTCATTCGTCAAGCCTTTCTTGCACATCACGAACGGAGGTGTCTAGATTCACGTTACCACGTACCCCTCTACTCATTCTAAAAGACAATCGAAAGTCGTGTGCTTGACTTGCTCCGGCTAGTGCGTGGAGCATGTACCGAAAAGGTGCGGACGTGCCGCCCAGAATCGATGGCTGGCACGACAACACACAACGCACTCACGCGCATCTAGTCTCTTTGGTACGTAGCTCAGTTGCTCTTGGACAGCCTGAGCCATTTGGAAGGCTACACTCATGCGGGACCACGCTGCTGCTATTACACGTAGTTTTTCTCGCGTTAGAAGTCCAGCAATCTTCGCAAACAGTAGCGGCTACGGTTGAAGAGGTTTTTTTCTACGAGAATTTGAGGGGTTCGAGACAGTACTGGTGACTTATCCCGGGTCGAGAAATACACATACTTTTATTTCGTACGACGAAAACCGGATGTAAGAGTGTTTGTGACTTGTCCCAACCCTCCTCTTTCACCGTGGCGGATACTGCAAGGAAATCGCTTGCTCAAGTGTCCCCATTTCGCGTGGTTTTTGTGGGATACATCCGTGTATTGCTCATCTTGTCGAGCAAGAAAGAGATTTAGCCATGTTATGCTCGCAATGTTGACCATCGTGTTGCACGTTCATGCTGCTGTAAATGCCCACACCGGTTGCTTGATTTCCTCGTCTCCAAGGCTGTTTCGGGTACGAGGAGACCGAAGTCCCGGGAACTCGGAAACATCCAGATGCGAACCCGGGGCGAGGAGGCGCGTGTCCCGCTCCTGTCGGAGCCCTACGCCCCCGCACCTGGTGCCACCCTTCTTTAGCCGCCGAGACGGGGTCTGGCAACTGCAACGGCGGGGTGACTGCGGTGCTGTGGAGGGTGATTAGTTCCGGCGAGTATAATAATAGTGTCAGGCACGGCCGCTTGCAGTTTTCTCTCCGAACCCCATTTTACGCAGGCCTCGTCTGCCGTTACCGGTTTCGAGAGCACGTGGGCGGAAGGTGCTACATCATATGGCATGACTTTGACCTCGCCGGCGGGGCCCGTCACGGAGGGTTACCTTCCTCTCTCTTCCCTGGACCGAGATGGTGGAGCATGGACACAGCATGAGAGCCGGAGATGAGCCTGGGGTTTACGTCTGATGAATTATTTTCGGGCGCGCTTCTCCTGAGGAGTCGCCGCCCCCATCGGAGCGGTTACGCGGTATCACTGGGCCTTCGGCGGTGTCGAAATTGGAGGTGGCAGTGGCTGTGGAAACAGTCGCAACTTCACGTGTATTTGGCGGACGCTGTCCTTGTGTGGCTTGAGATATGCGTCGGTTCGTGTGGTTTGTCCGAGGACAATAATCGTAGCTCGGATATCGTTGGAGGAACCCGACAAGGGTTTATTGGCAGTTTGTAGTTCTCCATGATTATATCGATTTGCTATCTTCGTACAACAACGCGATGTTCATGTGTTGCGTTGATTTCCACGTTTTGCTCTCGTTCGTGGGACGCTACTTGATTCAAAGTTTGATTTGCGGTTTCTCTTTATCTGGTCGTTATTAGTACCTTGCCTTGGAAGATGGGGAACTGTGTTAGGATTGGAGCTCGTAGCAGTTTTTTCTTAATCATGGGCTCCGGAGAGCGAATGTATTTTGTTACCCGGCTTGGTCGTGTGAGAATTGGCCACCCACCCCCTTTCGAGACTGCGCGTCCTTCCTACTGCTCGTGTCGTGTTGTAGTGACGCCGACAATGTGCGGCCTCACGTCATCGGTAAAAGGAGGAGCCGGGAGGGGGCGGCTTCACTATTCTTTTGCGGCTACCCGGGGTTGTACGCTTCAGAGAAAGGCGATAACTTTAATGTGTTGTTTTCTTGTTCGGTGTGTGGTTCGACCCCCGTTGCCCTTTTCCTTTATGAGGGTATATCCTGTGATGTGCTGGAGGTGTTTGTGGGGCAAACGTTAGTTGCGCGAAACAAGTGCTCGAGAAGCAATGGGTAAACCATGTGTCTTGTGACATCCCTTCCAGCTTTGAGAGTCAGCGGCCGGAGAATTTGTATGTTTTTCATCTAGTTCTGTGTGCCGAAAGTAAGCCACGCGGACGGTGTCTAACGGATTTTCCGTGGTTCGCATCATACCCTCCAGAACCGGATCCCGGTACTGTTTACTCCGTACTTTTCTTTTTTTTTTCTTAGTATGACACAACGAATCCATCTCTATCTGAGAAAAGAGTCTAAGGTAGATTAGCAATGAATCCATAGCGTCAGAGGAAGGCTACCTGTATTTCCACGATTTCCCGAGCAGCACACAGCGACATCTCCCCTGTGGGTAACAGGCTCAACAAGACAGTTTGGTAGCCGTCTTTTTCTGGTTTCGTGCTAGGGCATCCGCGGTTGTAGATATTCATCTGGGTAATTTTTTTAGTTCTTTCGGAGCATGCCGAGGCTTAGACTGTGACGTGATTACTGGTCTCTTCTGATAGGGTTTCGCACAATAGCATAGGTCTGGAACATTGCAGGTAAAATCGAAGGAGGAGCGGGCTGCAAGGTGTATGCATTGTGTGCTGTCTGAACGAGTACATCGACGCGCAGGAGAGGGAAAATTTAGATCTTGTATCCACAACATGCATGGCGTCTAGGCTTACACACGAGAACCTTGTAGCGCAACGGGTGTGTTCTACTGTTGTAGTCGGCGTCGACCACGCTTACCGGCTGAACAATGAAAAGGACGTTTGTCGCATCGGCGGGGGGGGTTATACACTCATTCTTCTAGGCATCGCGTCGACCGCGCGCTAGCCGGGTGACCAAGGAACATAAGTCTGGTATTTGCCGGGAAAAAATGCGCCAACATTCCTTACTTAGTCCACGGTCCCCTCCACTCCACAGGAAGGCGGAGGAGGAGATTGGACGTTTGGGCGTCTGTGCGCGCGTTTCTTTGATAATTGGCATCGAGCGCGGCGCTAACCGGCCGCCCGAAAAAAGGCATGAGCATGTACAGCGGGACAAAAAGCCGCCAAGGCGCTAAATTATGTAGTCATCCATATACAAGAGGGGGGGCGCCGAGGAGGTTGGGCCGTGCGTGAACGCGCATTATTCGTGGAATCACGCTTTCGAGGGGCACTCGCCCTCATCGGGACATTGCCTTCTTTGTCCGATTATGGATGTTACACCTGTGCCATTGAAACACAACCAGCACTTCATGTTTGCCTCGGATCTTCACACCAACCAACTTAGCCGCACAGTATTCTTACTCTCGTGCATACCTGGCAGAGCGCAAGAGCGCCAAGCGGACAAGTACAACGAGACAACACCCGGCGCCGAGAACCTGATCATGCTGGACACCGTGCCCGCGTGGTGCGTAACCGCTTCTTCGGTATTCGCAAAGAATCGTTGCACAGAAACACAAGCAAAACGGGCTGAACCCTCTTCAAGTTTGTTGACATCTCTGCCAAGTCTCTTGCGCCCATAGTGGCCTGCCTGCCTGCAAGAGGGGTGAAACAACAGTCGAGGATAGCTACCTATAAACAGATTGTGCATTGCTTCCCTGAGCTCCGGCTATACATGTCGCTCACTGTGATGACAGACAATAATACAAGGTTCGACAACGGCACCGACGGGCGAAGAGGGTGCTGATATTCTGTTCTCAGACGGCGCACTCTGAGCTCAAAACTGCGGCTGACTGCTAGCGTTTGGGAAGCAACAAAATGTACATGCAAAGCGGACCGCAACGCCGCCACACCCAGGTTCCGAAAAAGGTGGTTACACTTGTTCCGAGTCTTGCCAAGTGACCTTCGACAGGAAATATCCCGTCTCAACGAATAGGAGTAGCATCAAAGGTCGTCGTACGTGTCTCTCGCGAGCAGGCCGTATTTGGGGCCCATAAGGGTCATGACCTCTCTCCACATCGGAACCGGCAGCGATAGGCAGTGCTTCAATATCACCTGTAGGAAAGCATGGGCAGAGTGCAGCGCGGGTTGGGGCGCTTCTTCGAGTTCGAAATAACTTCCTGGAAGGAGGACCAAACATCCCTCTCGTCAGATCAAGAAAAAAAAATAGAAAAAAAATTGCAAGGGGGGGATCAATCACCACACGCCCTTGACGCCAATTGTTCTTGCAACTCACGTTGGTCGACGTCGCTACGGGCATCCACACGCCTCTTTGAATCTCGTCCTCTAGCTGCCCCGGCGCCCAGCCGCACAGGTGCAGCATGAACTTGAAGTCGTCTACCTTGGCTCTTCCAGATGCCACCATGCGGTCAGCCTCGTCAACTGCACCGCCAATGTAGACCTGCGGGGGGATAGCCGGTCCGCAGAGAGAGGGGCAGCGAACATCACGGTGGGAGGGGGAGGGGGAGGGGGGGGGGGAGGGGTGAGACGATTCGAAAGGGTGTGCGTAACGGAAAAATTCATGTGCTCTTGTTTTCTGGAAGACACTGATCTGTAGGAAAGGCAGATGGGAGACAACGAAAAAGTGTGAGTTGCTGGAAAAAAAAATGACACGGGATTGAAACAAAAAACACAAACGACACGAAAGATAATGGGATGATATCGCCAATCGTTCGGGATGGACACACACCGTCGTTGCAAGGCAATCGATCGAGCTCGGAAAGTCCACGCCGCATGCGAACGCGAATTTTTGCGAATACAGTACTCCTATCATTCGATACTCACGCCCGGGATGATTTCCATGCTGTCGGTGAGCTTCTCCGGCCCGAATGGGTGCAAAATCTGAACGTTTCCTTCCCCTGAAGAGAAAAAACGTACGGTCGTGACGGTCCACAGCCCGACATCGTACAGCCGGCGTTAGAAACAAAGGGACTTCGAAAGATCATGGTTGGTAACGCGGGTGCACACGGAGTTCGCGGGGGAGTCAAACGTCGGCTTCTCGTTGCCGAGCGGGCTCCTAGCCGGGAAGCTGGTCCTACGCAAGCACCACAGCTGCCGCGCCGAGGGCCCGTGGGTAACAGCCATTGAGGCTCAAGCGGAGGCCAGCCAACAAGCACGGACACATAAATGTGGACAGATGGTTTCGAACTGTACGAAACGGACCATACGTTGGGGCATTCGAACCCAACGACAAACTTTATAGAAGCTGATATCAAACCAAGTCTAATTGTTTGATTTCGGCTTCTATAGAACACGAGTCCCCTCCGATGGGGATAGACACGTCATGACGTCACTGACCGACGTCGCCCCCTAGGTAAAGGGGCGTTTTTTGGAACTGCCGCAGCGCGTTGCCCTCGACCAAGTCTCCCAGCTGCACGGACGTTGGTCTGTTGAGGATGAACCCCGCCGACCCGGCCTCGTCGTAGCTCGCCAAGAAAATCACAGCCTGATCAGACACACAATATGTCAAAATATGTCGAAGGAGACAACACACGCTGAGCGTGCGTTCCGTATCTTCGTCAAAGCTGCTGCCGTTGGTTGGCGGCAATGGCCGGCAAGAGTGTACTACGAACAACCTCGGAGTTGTCCGTCCGCTACTCGGCCAACGGCTGTCTGGTACCGCACGTTAAAACGGCCGACTAAAGATGGCTTTACCTCGTTGAAGTACGTTTGAGCCATGCTGAACTGGGTGCTCTTGGCAACGATCAGGCAGCCCTTTTCGGGGGCGCTCAGCTCGTGCGCCCAGGCGTCCTGCCCCGCGAGCTGCCCAACGTTAACGTTTCTTCGGAGCTGCTCTTTCCACTTCTCGTCAGACCCGGCCCTCAGCTTCGCCCGAAACAGTCGAAAGTCTTTGTTGTCTCCTGTCGGCAAGAAAACGGTATCTCCCTCCTTGTCCTCTTCCTCACCTGACGCCAAACGTGCGGTGAAACAAACAGCCAGTAGAGAAAGAATGATAAATCATCGGAGGTGTGTTTAACTGCCGTCGACGCTGCTGCTGCTGCTGCTGCTGCTGCTGCGTATCACACATAGCGGGGAATGACTCCTGCGTACAATACCATGGCACGTCGTGTTGCTCCTGAGCGCCAGTCGTATCGTCAGCTTTGCTCATGCTCCTTAGTTTCATCTTTCGATACCGAACAAGGTGGTTGGTCCACGTGGTGCAAGCCAACATGCATACATCAATACTTGCCTAGCAACCAAGAAGACGACAAGGGAGGGGCGTGATGTGGAGATCCCCTTCAAAAAGGGTGCAACCTTCCCCGCGCCTGTCTGTCGAGGACGACGCCCTCAACTCAGAGGGGCTACACTTATCCGCCACGTATCTGCGTCACAACGGACATTGCTTGCGACCACACCAGATTCAAAATGTGCACGCACGCAAGTAGTATTGCAAAATCAAAACTCTTCACCCTGCCTGTCCTCCAAATCGCTACAGCGCCTCCATTGGGTTGGACCCGCGACAGATATTGACCTCCTTATGCACACACCCATCGACGGGGGCAATATCTACAGCAAAAGTGCAGCATTATTGTAGCATACTCCTTGCCTCGGTTGTCCCGGCAACAGGTTAGAGAAGCAATAAAATTGCGTATGTATCGCGGTGCTGGAAACAACAGAGGTTGATTTCCTTCTTAGCGCTGCGACGAACGCACCTCCCCACCTTCTGCCTCTTTCTTCTTTACTGGTCCCTTGTCCTCCTCTGCTGCTGCACCCTGCCCACTTTGTACACCGTCGTCTATCGCCCCGTCAGCAGCAGAGGCTTCAACAACAGCAGCACCCGCATCGGCCCCATCGGCAGCATTGCTGCCATCCTTCCGGGCGGCTTCTTCCTCGGTCCCATTGCTGCCATCTCCCGCTTCAGCGTCGTTCTCGCGACCAGCCGCGGACATCGACATCCACGGCTGCGCTGGGCAAGAGAGGTGTCGACATCTTGTTCCGCGCACACTACTTGTACATGTATCATGTGTCCGCTGCTGCTGCCGCTGTTGATGCGGCCTAGACGTCGCTTTCCCAGCGTAACCGACGAAGGCGGCCGCATTTCGACAGGTCAAAAGGACCGCCGCTGGCCATACGAGCTTCATCGTTCTGCTGGTACGATCCTCTGCTGCGGCGGGAGGCAGGTGCGTGTGCGCGGCAGCGACGTAGTAGAAGAAGTTGGTCGGGGAGCACTTGCCGAAGCAATCGTGCAGGGGGTTTCGTGGTTTGATCAGATGCACACAAATCTCGCCCCCGCCCCCCCCCGCAAGGGTTCGAAAAACGTTTCACATGCAAATGTACATGTACTACTGTACTCGTCTGCTCGCCGTGTGTACAGACTACAGCTCTGTATCTGTCTGTAGCATCATGGCAGAGCGTTGTTTTGTGGTATCTCCATGGGTGACTGCCGTAAACCACCACAAGATGATCAGATCGCAGTTCGTAGCACACCGAAGGCAGCGGTGCTCGGCAGCAGTACCGCAAGAACAAGCTTGAACGATCATATTGGAACATTTTTTAGGTATGTTGGCAGAATTTTTAGCTGGACATGTGCTTGGTGATTCCCACTTCATTCTTGAGCTTGGTGCGCCTGGCGATGATGGGCTCCCTGATGTGGGTGGTCTTCTCGAAGTCCAAGCGGCCGTCCCAGTCTTCGTTGTGGACACTTTCCTCGACCAACGAACCCCATTGATGCCACACCCGTGATGCCAATCAATCCAGCCGTTCGCGGACTGTTGTCTCTGATCCCTAGCATCCGAAATCTTTGATCCGTTGGAGAATGGAGATGAAGAACTTGTGCTGGCCCAAATGCTTACTCGCGATATCGGCCAGCATTGCTTGAGTTGGGACGTGGTGAACCGTAATGCGGCGCCGCTTGATCAGTTCCCGAAGGAAGAAGAATAGCAGGGCGATGTGCTTGATCCTCGAGCTGAATGAACGTACGCGGAGATGGCGGCGAGGCTGAGAGCTCCTGAGCTGTCGGTGCGGATGGAAATAGACTTGAAGGAGATATCGAGTTGAGCTCCATGAAGAGGTTGGAGAGGTACACGGCCTCCCTGGCAGCGTAGCTAATGGCTTGAAGTTCGCTCTCGACGGTCGATTGGGCCGTGAGAGACTTGCGTCTTGGTTCCGAAGCTGATGAGACCTCCTGCTCCAAGGAAGAACAGGTACCCTGTGGTAGACTTCCTGTTGTCCAGGGTACCTGCGAACGAAGCGTCGGCGAATGCTGCAATGCAGAATTAATTGCCCTTGCTTGAATACGATGGGCGAGTCCGGCGTTCTGCGAAGGTACCGCAGCACGTGCTTGGCGGCAGCCATGTGGACCTGAGCAGGCTTGCTCCATGCCCTCGTCAGCTGGTTGACTGCGCAGCACACGCCGTATCTGGTGCATTGAGCCAGGTAGAGCAGGCTGCCTGTAATGCACTGGTACAGTTTGGTGTCTGCCGCTCCGAGTAGCTTGTCCGCTGGCTGATCAGTCGAGAGTTCCGGTCCATATCCTGGAGTGCTGACGGGGTTGCAGTTCTCCATGCCGAACCTTTCAGGGATATTCTTGACGTAGTTGTTCTGCGAGACAGTCAGCGTGCCTTCCTCGTAGTTGCGTGTGACTTGCATGCGTCGAATGAGGAGACTTCCGCCATGTCCGTCATTTCGAAGCGGTAGTGGAGTTCTTTCGAGTTTTTAAGAACAACTTTTGGGTGTTGGCGAGCGTAGAATATATAGGTTTGTCCTTTTTCTTTTTTCCGACCCAATGCAGCCCGTATTGAATTTCTACATGTATGTACAGCCGCAGCAGCGTCCCGCTACTATGCACGGCGTATTAGTTTAGACACGCATGTCGGTGGAGGCTCAGCTTCTTTTTTCGTCGCCACCGAAGACGTCGAGCACAGGAAATTTGTAGGTGCATTGATTGCATGCATATAGTCTATAGCACGGCTCAACACAAGAAGAGTCTAAACCCGAACAATCTCTCTTTCCACTTTTTGTTCGTGAAGGACTTCAGCCTTTTACATTTGTGCATTGATGTGCAACTCCTCGACGAGTTTGGTCGGCGTTGCCTGTCTGAAGCTTTCCTTGTTTTTCTTACGGGAAGCCGCCATTGCTTCCTACGGCGGTGTGACACTCTCGAGCACGAGACACTACTGCAAGAGCAAAGTATCTTTGGAATGAAGACGTGCCGACCGCAATGAAGACCTTGAAACTATCGTGCTGACGATGACGATGCCAAAGAACTACTGAACTGTGTAGATGCGAAGAAAGTCTACGATAACAAGATTTACGTATGGAAAAAAAAAAAGGAAGCAAACGTGCCAAAGAAAGAAATCGCATGAAAACTCCCCTCGAGCAGTTCTCTCCGATGGGCCGACAGGGCCTAACAGGCTTCCCACCGGATGGGCTGCAGCAGCACCGGCGGCGAGAGTGGTGACCCCCGGCGGCAGGGTTCTCCCCGCGACGCCGGCCGGGGGGAGGGCGGGGTGCAGGCACTGGCGGTTAGAGCGGTACCATCGGTAGCAACACCGGCGGCCAGAGTGGTGGCCCTTGGCAGCAGAGATTTTCCCGCGGCGGTGGCGGTGGCGGCGGCGGCGGCGGTGGCGGGGGAGACGGCTGGGGCGCAGGCACTCATGGCGGGATCGGCAGCATCGGCAGCAGCATCGGCGGCGAGAGGGGGGACCGCCGGCAGTCATGTTTTCCCCGCGATGCCGGCGGGGGGGGCGGCCGGAGTGCAGGCACTCGCGGCTAGAGCGGTACCATCGGTAGTAGCACCGGCGGCGAGAGTGGCAACGCCTGGCGGCAGAGTTTTCCCCGCGGCGGCAGCGGCGGGGGGGCAGACGGCCGGGGCGCCGGCACTTGCGGCGGGAGCGGCAGCATCGGCAGCACCACCGGCGGCAAGAGGGGGGACCACCAGCAATCATGTTTACCCGCAGCGGCGGCCGGCCGGGACTTTGTGAAGGATGAGCAACCGTTACTTTTTTTCATGCAGTTCACGGCACCATTCTAATGATGCGGAGAATGAAACTAAAATAACGGGCAACTTCACCGCGCAATCTCGACCAATTTGACGAACTCGAGACTTAACACGTGCCCGCACGCACGTGTCCGCACGCGACGGTGGGAAAAAATCAGTCCGGGACCATCGCAGGCACCACCATTAACACAAATCATGGGAATCTCCGGCAGTACGCACCCGAACAGACAACACGCTCGTTCTTCGTGAGATGCACACCTACTGTAGTGCAGCGTTTAGATCGAATAGAGACGCTTGCTTGCGGTTGGAGTTTGAAGGGCATGTCAAGGCCCGACGCTTATAACGTAAGACCCCATGGTTACGAAGGAGTCTTGCAGGCAACGAGTGTAGTCCTCAGCTCAATACCTCGCCCCGACCGACTACCTATGCATGAGAGACATGATGAACCACGCCATGCTCCCGTAATGCGCTCATGTTTCTCCCTGGCGTACTCCGACCACACACCAGCACCGTAATGAAGCGAGTGGGGATGGACTGCGCCGCTCACGTAGGTTCGAATGTACCAGAGTTCACCAAGAACGTAACTGTCTAGAGGTGGAGAGCAATGCTTGAGAGAGCAACAGCAGCCGCAGCGGTGCTCGGCCGCTGACAAAAAAATGCTTGAGTCGTGAAACAGGTTACGCCGGACCGGAGATGGCCCGCGGTAGAGCAACACGGAACGACAGCAGAAAATTGCGACAGATGCACATGTTTGAATGTCCATCGGATTTTAAACCGCTGGTGACAGGCCACTTATTTGCCCGCAATTTTCAAGGATCAACGTGCCGCACGAAGCAATGCTGAAACTTTCCAATCGCTGCTTCCCGTAGGTGTCCACCCTCGGAGTTGGCAGTATTCTCGGCAGACGGGTCAGCAGTGCCACGAGGGAACACCGACCGAACAGGCCCAGAAAGAGGTATGTCGCAAGAGCACGCAAACAACCATTACTACTGCCGTAAGCAGCGGAAACACCCAACTCCGTGTCTCAATCCTCTAACTTGTCGTGAGTGTTGGTTACTTTTACTGTAGAATACGACAAGATGAAAACCGTGCCGGTCTCTGCTCAATGTCGGCACTGGTCCACCTGACGCCAGCTGCTGTCTTTCCGCGGTCACAACCTAGCTAAATCGAGAGAGACAGAGAGAGTAAAACAAAAACAAGAGAGCCACAAAAAAACTAATGATACGCAGGCGAGAGCACACAAGGCAGAAAGAAGCCCTCGAAACTGACCGTCCTGTCGCCCACAAAAAACTGTCACTCGACTACAAGAAACACGAGCAGGAAAAACAAAATTAACCATGCCGTGTCGACCTTTTACGCACCCTGCACCACTATGAGGAACAACTACCCATGCACAATAAATACAAATACAAGCTGCCGTGTACTTGGCCATTCGCCTGGCCAATGCCGACTACAGCTAAGTGTCACCCCCCTAATTCGGGGGGGGGAAATAAAATCTCGTCTTAAGAAGAAAAAAAAAATAACACTTCTCGTGTTCAGAAACCGACACATCGACACATACATACATCTAGCAGGCATAATAGCAGGCACAAAATCCAAGGGATACCCACGCTACGTCTCAGATAAAGAAGGTGTGGGGGCTGCCTGTGCCCGCACTCCATATCACAACACTCACCATCCGCGAAGCATACAAAAAATACAAGCTAGTGTATATTCATTTCGGGACCAGTAACCAGCCCTAGCGCGGGAACTCCAACCGAAATACGAGAATATACGTCAATGTAAAAACGATGAAGTTCCGTTGTGGGAGCGACATCGTGTCTATTTTAGTGAGGGAGAGTGTTCCACAGGCGGAAAATAAAACGCGCATCTAGACTGCTGCGGCACATGCTCCTCGGCCTGCTCGTGCTGTAGCAAATGGCTTGGTTCCAACAGAGAGTCCCGTGGCAAAAAATAAACCACACAGAGGGGACAAAACAAAAAAACGGGAAGAGGCAAATTGTACTCACACAGCGGGTGGTATCTTTTGATACATGTCTCAGACAACAAATATTGAGGCTAATGCTAAGCACGCGAGCATTCTTCTCGCCCTTCCAAAGGGTACAATGGAGAGGGTACAATACCTCCTCGTCTCTCGCGGGCGGGATACCTTGCCCTGCCGAGCGAAGTGTCATGCAGCTTTCGCACGCCAAGCAACGCCGCATGTCACAACCGCAAGCATTGCCCACGTGACTACTACAAGCACTGCCTCCACGCAAAATACGTACAGTACACGTCACATGAAGACACATACAAAACATGGGGGTGCGAAGCATGGCACGTGGTTGAGCAATACAGGCTGAGCAATACACCAACGGGTTTCGCGAAGCAGCACCCGCCGCTTTGAAAAGCAACCCTACCACATAGTCATATGCCTAGATACAATCAGGTTTCCCACCCATCCTCGAATGGATTCGGCGGGGGGGGGTGTTGTAGCCACGGCCCTTAAAGCTGAACAATCCTTGTTGAAATTTTTCCGCACGTGCGTGGCACCTTACAAACACCCCGCAGCCATACCAGTGCCGTCCGTGGTGCCATCTCCACCCCTCCGCGGTGAACAATTCACGCCTACATCCGCGACACGAGCCTCCTTCTGCCGAGAAACAGAACACGGTCAGGCGGCGTCGATTGGTTCCGTCGTCAGTTGAGCGGGTAACGTTTGGCGGAGTGGCGCGCTGAACAGATGTGTCGTTTCAAGTGGAAAAATGGAACGCTCTCGAGGTTCGTCCGACAGGCGGTTGGTTGTCGGTGTGGCTGCCGTAAGTAGCCTTTTCGTATCGGACGAGCAACAAGACCAGGGTTCAGCACAATCAGCCGACAACACACGTTCGAGTGCGGCATGAGGACCTTCAACCCCACCCCACACCCCCTGCTTCAACTACTTCCCGTTACACCGGAAGCGTCCAACGTGTCCCTTCGAACAACCTTCAGAGAGGCAACACCAAAACCTCGACTGCGCGCAATACACCCTTCCTCGATCACAACGACCACACGGCACCAAGACTTCGGTCGCACACACCTGACGAGGTCGCGTCGTGCCCCCCTGCTTCTTCCTTCTCACTTGCCCTGGTAGTTCATCACGAACCGCCTCCTCAGCAAGCGCCCTTCCTCCTCCTCCCCTTCTCCTTCCCCGCCGTCACCGCCTACCAACGCCGGGAAGATGACGACGCACAACTCGCCAGTGACTTCACCGTCGACAGGATCAAAGTGTCGGTTCGGGTCGAAACGCTCCACATCTCCGAGGTCGTCGGTGAACGAGTACGACCGCAGCAGGCAGCCGACGGCGATATTGAGGTACTCCTCGACGATCTTCTCGAGGCCGCTCGCCGCGAGGGCGGATTGGACGGCGTCCGCGTTCTTGGCCTCCGGGTTCCACTCTTCCGACTCGATCATGCTGGCGTCGGTCGTCACAGCAGTTTAAGGGGCCGGGATGGGGTGACGTGAGGCATGGACGAGGAAGAAAGCAAGCAGTTGTGGCGTGTATTGACGTGTATGCGATTCCAAACCGTGGTTCGACCATTGCTGAATGTGGAACTAGAATTTGCGAGCATAGCGTGGAACGTATCGAGGAATATAAAAAAAAATAATATGTGTCGAATTTCGAGGAGAGTGCGCGCTAGGGTAGTACTGGTCCTCCTGTAATGCCTCAACAACGAAAGAAACAGAAAACGACAACGTCGCAACCATGTCTTCCTCTTTTTCTCAAGGGAACGTACAGAGTAGTGCAGGAGACCCTGTTGGCATGGGATAGTGTGTTGCTCGGCGGCAAGGACGGTGGTTGACCAAACAGGACGAGAACAAAATTAAAAAAGAACGAGAAGCTAGTATTGGCGCGGGTGGTTCCTTTGGATGTTTCTTTCGGGCGCGTGCGTTTGGTTAACAGGTGTTGGACCGCGAACAAAACAAACTACAATACAGCTGTACTTCTAAAATAAATGCCGTGATGAAATGGCAAGGAGAGATGGTGGCGACCGCTTTTGCTTCGGCCCACGTGCTGCTCTTCCGGATGGATGATTGCTCACGTCACGCGAAGGGAAAACATGCGGGGAGAAAACGAGTGCGAGATACAGCAGTTGCGCATACAGAACGGCGAATCTCGTCGACGTTGGGTGTCGCGCACCGTTAATGGATGATATCTGTGCGTGCACAAGGGAGGAGGGGGGATGGGGATCTTTTACGCCACGGGTGTAATTGCAGCCGTAAACCTGTGTACCACAGAGTAAGCAACACCCAGGCTGCTGTGATCTGATGTAATGTCCGACGGGTGCGAAGAATGTCGTTCCGACGGCCGTGGAGTTCATGCGGTCTAAATAAACATAAATCTAATGGCGGAGGACACCGCAGTGGCAGCGGTGTCTTGTGTCTAGCGAACGCGCACATGTCTCAAGACGTTCAGCATAAAGATGCCGACAGGGCACGTGGCACAAAAAAACAGCCTTGAAACACCCGGTGTTTCGCGCGCGGGCAGCGCGTACCAAAGATAGGTACGCATTTTTGGTACTAATAAGCAGTGTCGCATGACTCAATGACGACAGACGGACAGACGAGAGAGCGAACGATAAATTTAGGATGAGTACATGCGCCGCAAGTGATAGCCACATTCCAGTAGTTTGTGTCTACACCATGCAGATGTCTGCCTTACCTGTGAGCGAGCGACATCATGACCGTCTTGGTGGCCGCCATTAACTTATCCCCCTGCAGAGGAAACACGGTGCGGTAGTGGCGGTTCAAATGGTGATGCAGGGTCACGGACGACTCCTTCGCACCCTCATTGCCGCCGACCGCCACTTCCTCCTCGAAGATGCTCACGAGCTCCTGCCGCCTCTCGTCGATGAGCTCCGTGCTCAGGAAAAAAAGCTTGTGCAGCAGCCATGGCAGAACCAAAGCTTGCCGCAGCCCCGGGCTGCAGGCGGCCTGCATGCCCTTGATCCACCTGCTGACGGTGCCCGTCATGGCGCTCTGGACAGAGTGGAACAGATCGGGGAGATCGGGTTCTGGATCGTCGTCGATCGGTCCAGCACCATCAACGATAGCAGACGCGCTTGCCAAGACAGGACGCTCGACGCTGCTACCGGTGCTGTGGCTGCCGTCGGTACTGCCCATGCTGCTCGCGTTGTCCTCGACGGAGGCAGCACCGGGGTTGTCGACACTCGTGCTGCTGCCGCTTGATGGATCGCTGCACCGATCTGCCGCGGCCACCAGAGCAGACTTGCACCGCCCTAATTCCGTCTCCGCGTCACGCCGTCTATTCTTCTCGCTGGTTAGGAGAGAGGCCTGCTTGGTGAGGGCCGCGGACAGCCGCTCCACCTCGCGGCAGACTTCCGTCAGGGAGGCCCTCGCTTCCTCGAGCTCCGCCTGAAGGGCGCTGTTCGCTTGCAGCACTTCCTCCTGCTCTTGGTAGAGCGCGGCGATCTCCTCCTTGTCCAGCACGCTCTCCTGTTCCAGCACCCTGTTGAGGGAACGAGCCTCCAAGAGCTCCAGCGACGCCTGGCGGTGCTGCCGCTGCCGGTGCTGCCGCCGCTGCCCACGCTCCCGCTCCCGCTCCCGCTGGAAGGAACCATTGCCCCGTCTGCCCTGGCTGGGAAGGGACGGCTGGTCCTGATGCCTGGTGCTGTTGTTGGTGCTTCTCGGGGGGGCAGGTTCATCATGATGATTGGTTTGTGACCACGGCGTTTGCCAGGCAGTGATGGGAGTCTCCGCCGGCGATCGGGGAGAATCCATCCTGCTGGAGGGAGGGAGAGGGGTATACGCTCGATCTCTCAGGCAACTGGAGGAGGAGGAGGAGAAACAACGGCGCGCGATGGTGCGTGAGGCGGGCTGGGAGCTGCAAATCTACCATCATAAAATTCCAACTCTTGCACACCGCCACGGAATCCATTGTATGCGTCGGTTGTGTACGCATAATCAGAACAAATGATATTAATATTTCATCGAAAAAGCGCTTCCGACCCGAACTTGCGTGCTGGGTACGCACCGCTTGCCGTAGAGCCTGCTCGAGGCTGCTGCAAGAAACACACCTGGGTGGGACGCACACAGCTGGCTACAGCAGTCAGCTGGGGGTACCCCGCGCCTTTGCTGGTTCTCTCGCGAATTGTTGCCCCAACAAGTCAGTCGCAATTTTTTCTGCTGCTTGCGCTTGCAGCAAGCGGCGGCTTGCTCGCTTGTTCTATTTGGTCGCTGTGGAAGAACCGTTGATCCCGCTCGATCTATTCGCGGATTCGCCGGGGTTTGGTTGGCCGGAATCCGGATCTTGAAGATTCGTTGAAGGTTGTTCGCCACTAGTGGCAGATTCGGGCGGGTGTGCTGGGCATATGTCGTGCTGGGATTTGAGCCTTGGTGGCAACCAAGAGGCTTGCGTGGGTCCAGGTAGTGAAGTTGGTCAGCGAGGAACTTTGAATACGTCTGAGCTCACGTGTGTTGACAACAACAGCCTGGCCCGTACCAAAATGAATTTGAAGTTCAACCTGTGACGTCATCTGCGAGATTTTTTACTTTTTACCCGAAAAAATGTCGCCGCTCCTCCGTCGAGATGAGAGCGGATGAGCGGATGAACTCCTACAATAATGTCTCAGACTCTTTTCTATGATGGAGATGGCTTCGTGGCGTCATATTAAGAAAAAATAAATAAAATCTCCATGTCGTGAGATATACTAAGGAATAATAAAAACACACACAGAAAGACTACCCATTCGAGATATACCCACAGTCGAACGGGATGTGTGCATCTCACAAGGGTACTGCTCTACTGGAGACCACACCTATCACACATATATACGCACGCGCCGAGCTTCCTCGATGTGGCTCTACAGCAGTTCTGCAGACTGGAGACCGCGCCCACGCACTCACCCCTCGTACGAACGTCTGTCGACGTTTTCACTTTTCGAACACAACTCCTCCTCCACACCCACCGCCCGCCACACACACACAGCAGCTCTGTTCACCGACCTTAGTGCTCGGTGTTGTTGGATGGAGAGTAGACTACATTAGTACATTAGTAGGAACAATCTACCAAGATGTGTAACCTTGATGGCTGGCACAGTTGACGGCTGTTCACTGCTGCTGCTGCTGTGTCAGACGCAACTACTACTGCTGTACACCACACTATTATTATACTGTCACTACAATGAAGACTGTACTCTGCCCCTCGTGGTAAGTATCCAGGCAGCAGTGTCGCTCCTGCTGCTGCTGTGTTGTTAACAGTAAGACTTCATCACATTCCGTCTGACTCCAACGGCGCGGATATTGTCTGTGCTGGCTTGCAATGTTGAATCAGTTATCGCATCACATACTTCGTAAAGTCTACATGTGAGTCTCGATCCCAGTAGTTTTTGCAGTCTGTCAGTGACTCTTCCTATCTAACGGCTTTTACACCCTCTGATTGGTCCGGCGTTGGTTCCTAGCCTTGACCCTCTCCAGCGCCCTCTCGCCGTTCCGCATTCCGAGAACGCGGCGCAGCCGCGTTCTCGACCAGTTCGCGGCCGCTAGGCCGTGCTTTGGCCGTGGGTGAGGGTTAGGGTTAGGGTTAGGGTTAGGGTAGATGTGGGGTGAGGAACCTAGCCTTGCTCGCGTAAGGAACCTAGCCTTGCAAAGTGCAACATCGGTTAGTCCTAAAGAGTCACTAACAGAGTGTAAATAGACCTCCTCGATCCCATGTGTGCGGCAACACGGGACTGTCGTCGAGATATTTTGTAACCGTTTTGAATGTGCTGGTGGTGTGTTGTTGCTGTGTTGTGTGTTGACGTGTCCATGTGCAAAGGACAACCTTCTTCTGGTGTTGCACCGCGCCGCGCTTCGTTGAACGGCAGTATGTTTTAGCTTGTATGGATGTGTTGCGGCAGACAAATCTCCACGATTTGCAGGACGAAACTCTAGACGAGAGTCGTTCGTTCCGCATGGTCAACCAGCGGCGACTACTGCTACAACAACCGCTGTCATGAGCACCTGGTACCACCAAGCGGACATTAGCCGCCAAATCAAGACGCAAGTGGATTGCTACGAGGTGCGTCGCAGCGTTGTCTACTGTTGATTGTAATAGGGCGGATACTCGTGTTGCATGTGCTGTAACGTGCGATGGGGGCCCATCGCGGCGATTGACTGTACATACATGCTCAACTAACTAACTACAGAATGTTGTTAGCTGACCGTATTGTGTGCTCTGTGTAGATAGCAGTGTAGTCTGACATACAAAAGTGTACTCTGTAGTACAGCAGTCCATATCCGTGGTCTACAATTTGTTGTAGTACTGTAGACTACACATGCAGTCTACTGTACAGCCGACGCCTAGACAATGGCTGCTGCTGTACTATGTACAGCAACTAAAATAGCAGCGGGTTTGCCGAGTCCAACAGGGGTGAGCATCACAATAGAGATACCCTACGTAGGCGGATCTCACATGTTTTCCTCGCGCCTCTCCTGTTTATTCCTGGTTTATTCTTACAGCACTGCCCCATACCACACCCGCAGACCCGGCCGAGTGCGCGGCCGGCCACGATCCTCGGGACGTCCACCGCCTTTAAAAACAACGCTTACACGAGCGATGCAACCGGACCCGTCGTCGATTCCCATCGATGTCGGCGACGGCTGTGGTCAGGCGAGCTATAAAATGTTCTGGGACGGAGACCCTAGCAAGCAGTCGTTCATCAATGTTGTGGGACTGTCATCACCTCAGGTCTCTCCATCGAGACCACGGCCTCTGTCGGCGCCCGCGCGAGGCGCGTATTTCTCTAGGTTTCACTCACCGAGACAAAAAGACCTATCCCAATGGTCAGTTGGAGGCTTCGAGGTCGGCAGCGAGCAGCCCATTCGTTCGAGCTCGAAACAGCATGCGTATGTGGCAAGAGAAAGGTCCCCCCGCTCCACGCACCAAGGAGAAAATGGCCTTGGCGTGGAGAGGGTGCCGGTGCTTGAACGAATGCGAGAGGATAGTTGCATGCGAGACGCCAAGCCAAGCATAGGGGACCGGAAGAGACTGGAGCGTCTGGGGCAGGCCCAGAGGCGAAACCTCGAGTTGATAGCTGCACTCCAGACGGCTAAAGCGAGGGCAGAGAAGAAGGCTAGGAGGGCTCAAGACAAGGTCAATACTCTACAGGTATGTTGACGTCGTACAGTAATAGCACCTGGTACGAAATGGTCATGACCTCGAGGCACATGCTTTGAGTCTCGACGAGTACGAATAAGCCCTCCCATCCCGTCTCTGACCCGAACTATTGCTTATGCTGTCATGGCTTGAACTTGAAATGGTTCGAAACGCACTCCGGTTGCGTTTGTGTTGTTGGATAATTCTTGCCGTACCCACAGTGCTGAGGAAGTTTCGCATGACCACAGCTTCTTCATCTCGCCTTTACACGGTCATGGAGTTTATGACTGTAGACCGAGTCAAACAATGACCGAACAAACAACTTGCAGCACGCCGAAGACTCTTCTTGCAACTCATGTGTCTTGCATGAAGGGTAAACCCGAACCCACGCCATAGTTCCCAGCTGCTCCAACTCCACGTACAACCCCGTAGATCACGGGCGCTCACGGTAGTCGTGCCCCCTAACCCGAATGGCCCGAATCACCCGCACTGCCCCTCGCCAACCTCCCGTAAGAACGAGCTGCGAAAACAAAACTCTCTACAACAACCCGCAATAGCCACTCAGCAGTGCAGCCCGATCAGCGGTGGCAGACCCAATGACAAAAGTCTGGCCAGCGCTTCTAGGCCAAAGTCGGCCCCACGACTGCGTCGGCCTTGCAGCAACGGCCAGCCGGCAACAGGCACGGCTAGTGCTTCAACGACCGCAGGCAGCGCTACTGCTATAGCCACGATAGACGAGAGGAATTCTGCGCAAGTCGCCGGCGTTGGAGGTAGACGTAGTACAGCAGCTGGCACAGCTCCCACCAGGGGTGGTTGGGTGGGGACGGCGAGAAGCGTAGCCAGTCCCAGGGAAACTGGTTACCACGTGGAAAGTCGAGGCAACGCTGGTGCCGGGAAGGAGCAACGTTTCCTCGCTGTTCGCCCTAAAAGCACTGCCAAGCCTTCCTGCCAGAAGGATGGCACTGCTTGCAGCAGGAGCTCAACTTTCCCGTGCGCAGCAGCACCGGGAAAGCGGAGAAGGTCAACCCTTGGGGGGGGCGACGTCGCCGATCGGGGTGACGCAGAATCGGCTGAAGCGGCTCTCGCTGGACGAGTTGGCGGAAAAGAGGGCAACGTCGCAGGTATAGAACTATTAGAAGAGACTAGCAAACCAAAGGAGTGCATCGACAATACCGCGCGGGACGGCTGCGTCCAGCGCAGCGACGACGGCGGCGGCGGCAGCAGCGGGGATACTCGCGGATACCATGTGAAGAGCAGCAGTCGACACGATACGGCCCCGAAGGTGCTCTTGGCGCGCGAAACGGAAGCTGCGCTTAGGCGCGAGCAGAGAGTGGTGGCGGCAAAGGAAAAGGAAGAGGAAGAGCTACGCCTGTCATCTTCGTTCCGCGCCAAGGAGGTGAGCAAGATCTCGACTCTCTAAATCGAGGTCTTGAGACAATCAAACTGAGCAGTTCAAGGTCTACAACCTTTGGCAGCTACTGACCTGTCTTCAACAACGTTTTGTCGGCCAGATTGACACTTTTTCGCGTGACCAACACCGCTGTAGCCAGAGGCTCCCGAGGGAATCATCATCCCACACTACCATTCCCGTTGAGCACGACCGATCACCGCACCATTGTAGCGCTGATCATCACACCCATCCAAGAAAAAATATTCCACAGCGGTACTTGGGGAATACTATCGTTGTAAAGATTGGTTGAAAAATTGCGAAGCCAGGCTTTCGCTTCCCTCCCCAATACCACTTGCCACCATGCCTCACGGTATTCCTCTGACGCTCCGTTATTGTTATCGTCCGCGTTTTCTCAGCTGCATGCCACAAACGGCCCCGATTGGGCGACTATCAAGGCGCACCAAGACCTTGTCCGGAAGCAGCGAACCAGAGATCGCGCCGCGTTTCTAGCCGCGACGTCTTCCCTTCCCGCGCGCATGGCGCGACACGCTGCCATGCAGGCCGTTGCTGAAGATCGGGCCAGTGCTAACGTGCGCAGCGGAGCTGGGGATAAGAGTGGTGAACATGGTAGGAGAGGGTCGATGGGCGGAGGGACGGGAACGGTGGATCCTGGGGACATCGGGCGGGTGATGCAGAGACGGCAAGAGAGGCGAGTCTTCGAGAACCGTGGACTTGTCGTCCAAACAGCATGTCATTTAGTATGTTTACCACCTCGAAGGAGACTGTTGACTGTGACGATGGTGGGCAGACGGAAGTGCATTTCCTATGAATACCCATCCGCACACACGCCCATCGTGAATTCGAGTCTAGTACTATAGACAAAAACGTCGGGAACAAGCCCTTGGCACCTGCATGAGAATGCACGATGATGCTCAGTCGAAAACCCATCACAATCGCTACGACGAAAAGGTTCGCTGACAGATAAGCTGTTGCTCCGTGCTGCTGAAGCTCGACCGTCTCAATTCACGTGCTTTTTTCGCAGGTACATATGTCGGAGATTTCTCGCGTGTGTCAAGAGATGCACCTATTGGCGAAGAACTGGTGTTGTGTTTGGGCATCAACAAATCTCATAATCCGATCGTGATTGAACTCGGTGATTCCATGTTTGCACCGATACCGTGATGATGATGTGCTTCCTGCAAAAGGTGGGAAGCGTCGCTCGCCGCCGCGAAGGCTTCCTCTCGAGTCGCCGTAACCCGGCCCCTCACCCCGCCGATGGAAAAACGCCGCCTAGCTCAAGAGACCAAGCGACGAGCGAAGGAGAAAGCCGATCAGGTGAGCGACGAAGGTGGTGGCATCGTGGCATCGCAACAGAAAGGATGATATGGTTCACCATGAATAGTTCGCGAGAACGGGGATACTCTCCGTTTCTGGCGAAAGTTCGGCTCGGCGGGGCGGGTCCTCTGTCGATGGAGTGGGAAAGTTGAATGGGGAGCATCGCTTGGTTCCGAGCTGTGCGAAGAAGTACGGTGCATCTGTAGCTTTCTGACTGCCGGGGTTGCGGTCGTCATCGCTTGGTTGCCAGGACGTCCGAAGTCTGTCCATCTTTGGAACTTGCTAAGGAAGGCTCGCACCCTCGATACGACAGCAGTTCTCTGTATTAAGGTCACCCATCCTTGCATAAATCAGTAGCTGAGTCATCCTGGTTTCACTTATAAGCCACTGCCGTTGGAACGGCGAGCTCGAATCTCAGCTTATTTGTTCCAAGCGTTCCTCGGCGATCCAGCTCTAGGACGACGGCTGATAGAAAACGGTTCGCCTCCCTATACACTTCTGCCAAACCTTTGTCTCCTGGATATCACGTGCACAGAGCGCAAGAGAGGCGGCGGCGAATCAGCGGGTACAGGACGAGAGGCGGCAGTTTCAACAGCTCGTCGAGATGCACCGGGCCACCGGAAGCACCTTTAGAGAGACCAAGGCGTCCGTGAGGAAGGCCCAGGAGGCACGACAGAAGATTGTTGAGGACCTAGAGGTAACGTTCGTTCAACACGGAAGTGCATCAGCACCCTACTCCATTGATCGATCGATCTTGTCGCAGTCTTGCCAAATTATATGCTGCAGTGAGCCATGCTTCAGCAAACAGAACTTCGTACTGATCCGACCTTCTTGACGGTACCTTCGAGCGCTAGTGGATACGTCACCCTGAAGTTCTCCAACTTCTCGGAGGTATTCCTCGATGTTCCGACGAGGAATGCCTGATACATTCCAACAGCTTCTTCGCCGATGTATCGCGGAAAGCCTAGTTTGCGTGGTCTCGAATCGGAGTTCTTCGACTACGGGATGACAAGACGTAGGGAAGACAGAAACTGCGAGGGATGCGTTGAAAACAGGAAGACCTGAACAAAACAACGCTGAATGGTACTGACTTCTAGGACCCCCCCGCCCCTGACCCTTTCCCGAATGCTATGGCAATCAGCAAGAGGAGCGAGAGCGAGCGGTCGTGTTGGCGGAGGAGGCGCGTCAAAGAGAAGTCTCCCGCGCCGTCCGCGAGTACGTGGTAGCATCGGAGGCTAGGAGGCGGGAGGAACACGGGGCTGGGCCTCCCCTTGAAGAGCTCGTCCAACGAAAAAAGGCACGAAACGCATCTACCAGTGCTGAAGATGCACGGTGCTTGACACATGGAAGTACAGACCGCCGACACAAAGAAGCGACTTCTTGTGCTTGTAGCTCGTTTTTGGGTCATGGCATCATTACGCACAGCCGGTTTCTCCCCCCCGCGCCGGGGTCACCACTTTCGGAAAAAGGGGGGCGAGGTACTTGTTTTCTTTGTTGAAACTGGGGTCTACTAGGGCAAGTGAATAGGGATGTTGTAGGAGACAACGGTGGTTGGAATCGTGGTTGAGATGATCATATCAATGGCGCGATAACAAAGGCGTCCATTGTTGGGGAAGGTCCAATAATCGTCTTGATAGCAGTGACGTTGTTGTTACCGTCGGCGTCTTGAACCACAATCAACCCCTTTTACAGGAAGAGAAGCAGGCGGAGTTTCGAGAGAGGTGGAGGCTGAACCGATCGGGACTTCGCCAGGCTCTCCGCAAGCGGCCCAACCTGCTGGAGAGGCAGGAGAAGTTCGCTCAGCAGCACTCGAAACGGCTGGCCGATCAAGCCGCGGTGAGATTCCCCATGAATCAAGAGGACAGAACGTAACGCTCGTGCAGTGGGATTAGTTCTGCCTTTGGCGCAGAACTTAACCGTTTTAAGACTTGCCAGAGAGGGACAAGAGCAAGGCGAACAGGCGGGCAAAAGACGGCAAGGGTGACCTTTTTATGTTGTTTGTCCCTTTTTCATTCACGTCCACTGAGCCTGTCAGTCACCGTCCACGGGCGGACACATCGGCGAATGTCTATAGGAATGTCGATTAGCCACGCCACATTATGCGAAAACTACTCCAGACTTGAACACAATTTCTCCTGGCGCGCTGGGAGGGGGGGGTCGTACACATACGAAAGGAGGTGGGTGCCGTTGACAAGGAGGTCAAAAAGAGATCAATGGAGGTGACCTGATCCAACATTTATTTTGGACACAAAGAGAACTGAGAGTAAACAACCAACCTTGTGACGTTGAGGGATGGGTGTTGGCCACAGGACGCCACAAGGAGGCGGCGAAGTTAGAGGCCAAAATGTTCATCCTGAACAATCTGGTCAGCTTCGGCAGAAAACCCGACTGTATTAATCTAGATTTGCAGAGCGTCTTGTCTAAGTGTTATATAGAAGCCGAAATCAAACCATTAGACTAATCAATTGACTAGTCCAATGGTTTGATTTCGGCTTCTATAAACGTTAGTCGTGGGTTCGAGACCGTTTACAGAAGCCGAAATCAAACCATTGATTCCGGCTTCTATAGTATCCACTGAGTGTTGGTTCCAGGGGTCAGGGGGTCAAGAGGCCAAGGAAGGCAACAAACAAATAAAAGTGTATCTTCTCCCTCAATATCCAATCTGGCTCTACCGTACCACAGAGCGCCAGAGATTTTTTGGAGAGCACGGAAGGCTTCGCTGCGGCCGGGCGGCGCGCCTTGCCGGGCGGCGGAAAGGGATGGATGGAAAAGGCCGCCGCAGACGACGCGTTCAGCTCGAAAGAGAAGGCCGAGCTGGGCCTACCTGTTCTCGTCGAAGGCGACGACAACACCAGGAGGGCCAGCGCCGACGGCATTGCCGTAACCGACCAAGACTTCGTCTTCGCCGGCTCCGCAGGCGACTCGCCCGGCGGTGACAGCAGTAGTGGCGGAGACCACGATGCGACATCGGGTTTGCGGGAAGCGAGGGGGGGAGGTGAATCAGAAGTGGCGGCAGAAGAAGCTGCCATGGCAGAGGGCGATGAAATGACGTCATCTTCGAGGCCGGCATCCGCCGGAGCAGAGGGCAGTAGTGCTACTGCTAGCGCGCAAGTCAGAGACGGCGCTCAACACCAAGAATGCATCCCGATCCCGGGAAGGGGACCAGAGGAGAAAATCCCAGTCTAACAGAACGAGCAGGGCGGAGACGAACGACGGGTCTGTGGATGGGAGCGCAGGCAGCGATAACATTTCTCGAGGAGGACAGCAGCAAGGAGGCCCCGCGGCTGGTTCGGTAGATAGAGTCGAACATGCCCCCAGTAGAAACAGAGAGTATCCTGTGGACGGGGGTTCATGACGCACGAACACTGCTGCTGCACAGAATATTGTGGCATCTAGAGACTCACGGCGGAAACGGAGAAAGCGGCAATCATGTGTAAGAAACAGATCATCTGGGCCTTGGACGTCTGAAGTGCCATTCGACTTGGTCCACGCCGCCCCGCGAGCTGCGAAGGCTCGGCGGTAAATATTGTGCACAGCAATACAAACATGGCAAACATGCAGCACGCTTGGCAACCTTCGTGCCCGGAATCGCGTTTTGATTGGTCAACTCCTTGGCGGACGCACTCTGCTCAGTCGACAACTCTTGGGCGATGGGCGCTGCCACCAATACACGTCACACCAGGCTATTGTACTGAGCGTTTGCCATCTATTCCATGTACAACAACGCACGCACCGAAGATTAAGAAAGGGAAGGACTCCGATGAAAACTCTAGGCACGCTGCTCAAACTTACGACACCAACGAACCGCTGGGCGTACAACCCGCGTCGTACATGCGAACACAGACACGCGGTCCTGCAGGCTTGTGCCTTCCAGGCTACAATGTCTTTCTCTCATTCTGCAGAGCCCTCATTGGGCAGAAAACAAAGGGTATGACTACACGCTTCGAGGAACATACTCTACTACTGGCATAAGCTAAGACGAACACTCGCTAAGACGACCTACGGGGCCAGGAACAAACATGATTTCGAACACAAAACGTTCTTGTGTTGCTACAAGGGCTCCACACAGGTGGGGGCACACAGGTTGACATACAATAGTACACATGCCCTCCAGTCCAACCGAGGGCCGCTTCACACAACCAATACGCCAACGCCACTAACATGCAGCAGTGCCACTATGGGCATATGCCCTCGTCTCCTGTATGCGGGACGGGCACAGAGAAGGGCGTTCGTTCTACACGAAACGAATGAAAAACTTAAGCACCGCACGCTCACTCTAAAAAAACACACACGGACGGCACAAGTCACCGCATGTCGAGTACACCCCAGTGCAATACTGTGAGATGGTATCGACCCATATCAAACGACTTCTACGCCTGTCTAGCGCTGACGTCTCAGCGCGGCGAGCTCCATGACGCGGGACCTTGCCGGTGCTGTGATACTCTACACCCCAGACCCACAAATACACGAGAGGGCCTCCGGCATTCTTTCAGTCTCTCTTAGTCTCCATGACGGAGGAGACGGCGTTCTCCAGGGCCTCCTTGGCAGCTACACTCTCGGCCATGAACGTAACCTGAACAACGAAAAGTTTGTGTTTGTGGGGGGGGGGGAGGGGGGGAGGGGGGGGGTATGGTACCGACATCAGACAACACGAGCAAGAGGTAGAGAATATCGCACAACGAACGAAAACAACAACAGCGATGACGACGAAAACAACAGCAACGATAGCAAAAATACACCACGAGATCTAAAAAAGTGCTCGGCTATGCCGTTGTCTCTCCCAACTGCCACTCCAACTACCACGATGCCTATCTCAACAACAACAAAAACTACAGTAGTGGTAGAGTTGGTGACGGTTTGAACGTGTTGGAACCAATCGACGAGCGAGCATCTGCACCTTGTGCGGAAGACCGTCCGGGCTCCTGCCGAACACGCAGACCACCTTTCTCGGATCGGTCAGCTCCCTGGCCTCCAGCGGAGACAGGTGGGTAACGCCGGCGTGGCCCTGTGGAAAACCGCAATTTTGGTTGTTTCGTCTCAAGTCTCGACTAGTCAAGTCGAATTTCTGGACGCCAATCATTGTATTTTTATCGCGACCGGAGAGGCGTGAGGCGGAAACTGTCTGCATGGAGGCATGCGATAAACCCATGTAGCCAGTTCACACCAAGTAGCTGTTCATTTTTTCATATTGCTCGGGGTGGGTTGGTACTTACACATCATTACTTCCAACAACAACAACAACAACAACAACAACAACAACAACAACAACAACAACAACAACAACAACAACAAGGTCGACGACCATGAAACGGTCATCACCTGCAACAGGAGCTGTCCTCTGGCCTTCTTCCCGTCGTCCAACTCCTTCGAGCTGCCCCACCACGCCAGACGGTGCCCCAGGACCACAAGGTATCTGAGAAGGATGACGGTTAGGTGTATGGATTAGGGTTAGGGTTGCTTCGTTACACGCAGAGAAGCGACAGGCAGGCCGCTGGAGGGGCATGAGGATGATCCTCAAAAGTTTGAAGCCATGTTCGACACCATCTCACTCAACAAAATGGGGCATTGTAGTTGTTGTGCACCAACCGAGCTTGGTGTTTGTGTAAAAATTAGAGGCGGGAGACCATAGGAAACGAGCGGGGTGCAAGGGAGGGAAAGGAAGAGAGACGACGAGGGCGGGGCGCCGTACAGCGAACAAACGACCAGAAACAAGAATCAAGAACAGTCACGTGAGAGGGGGCGAGTGGATTTGAAAAGGACCTATTATACCAGACTCTCGGGCCTGTGTTGGGTGGTAGAGCACTCGCTCCTTTCCACACCGCTGCTGAGACCGAGGTGAGTGTACAACAGACAAAATAACGTCTCTCACGACCGCCACGAGTTCCACACCAAGGACTTCAGACAGGAAAGAAGGAAAGGACAGATAGATCCGATTGGGGGCGCACCTTCGTAGTGATTCAGACCTCCCAAGTACTGATTGTAAAAGAACTATCGTGACGCAACGCGCGCGAGAGATTCAGAAATTGAAACGACGGGAAAACAAGGACCTCTTGAATTAACAATCCTTCGGGCCAGGAAAGCGCGTGATTGGGCGAAAAGGAAAACGACACCCCGCCAGTAAAACAAACCTGGGTTCCCAAGGGTCTCCAGCCCTATCTCGGACTCGCATTTCCCCTTCCCACTGCCTCCCCGCCCCGAGGAGCTTGAGCCTGGCCCTCTGCTCTCTGAGCTTCAGGCCGGCCTTTTCCTTCCTCGAGTGCTCCCTGGCTTCCCAGGCGTAGCACGCTGCCAGCTCGGAGTCCACCGGGAGGCTGGAAATAAAAATACGACCGAGAAAAGGCCGGCGTGGGGGGGCGGCGGCGGGCGGGCCTGGATCATCAGAAGTTGTAAATTTGACTGTCGCGCGCTACTCCATCCAATGATAACACGACTACAAACGAAAACAGCCCTCCCTTGGGCAGCAGTGCCCACATGAGCGCACTCTGATGGCCGTCCTCCCAGATTGTCCAAACCCCCGTCTCACCTCAGGAGGAGGTTCCTGAGCTTAATAGCTAGGTGGGAAGGAGCCCCGCCGCCGCCATCCGCCACCAGCTCTGGCTCTTGACCGCCCGTCATCCACGCCTTCGAAAACTCCAGCAACCCCAGGGTCAGGACGATGTAGCGGCCGGGCACTACCAGCAGAACGAGCCAGGCGAGCGCTACGATGGCGTAGACCAGGAGGGTCTTCGGAGGATGCGTCCAGTTCAGCAGGTTTTTCACCGCCTGTTTTGGAGGGAACAGACGGGGAGAGAGGTATATGTGGTGTGTGTGTGGGAAGATATACGTGGAGACCGACAGCTACACTCCCTGCAGCAGTTGGAGGTGCTTAGTAAGAACAATGTTGCTGGAGGCGCACCACCTCGGAGACATGGGTAAGAAGGAGGAAGATTAATATCCACGCCGAGCAAAGACACGACACACAGGAGGGAGACATCAAAGCAGCTCTCAATAACAGACAGCCGCTCACCCCTTTCCGCGAAAACCGCCGGCAGCGCACACCTTCGTAGAGGGTGCAACCTTCTCTTTTCGCAGAGGGTACTATATTTCCTATGTATGATCATCGTGTACCCCATCTGGTGGAACTGAGTTAGCCACTATGTTATCAAGGGGGACTTCCGCATCAGTTAGGCGAGCCCCGGATGCCGGAAGGTACTGAGCAGAGATCGGAAAGCTGTCCAACGCTAAGGCAACAACAACAACAACAACAACAACAACAACAACAGAAACGATAACAACCTCCCGGTGTCTCCTTTCTGCCTCTCGCTCACCTCCACCGTGTCGAGCACTGTCCCGATCGTGTCCTGGACGTCTCTGATCGTGTTCCTGAACCCCATCGGCATCCCCAGCAGCCTCGCCACCGCCCCGCCTCCCCCGGCCACCGCTGCCGCGTCCCTCACGGTCTCCTTTCCCGCACCGCCGCCAGCACCCCCCGCGGGGCCCCCTGCCGTCGCGCCGGATGATGCCACGGCGCCCCCCGTATCTCCCTTGTCCTCAACACCCCCGAGAGTGTTTTCCCCCAGCAGGGTTTGCAGCGCCAAGGAGGCTTCTTTGTCCTCCTCGGTGCCGACGGCGGCGGCGGCCTTGCCGTCCGGGAGGGTCAGCTGCAAGCGAAGGAAAAGGGCGCCCATGCCGCCCCCGCCGCCATTGTAGTCGTAGCTGTTGGTGCTTCGACCGTCGGGAACGTGTTTGCTGCTGCTGCCGGTGTTGTTGGTGCCGTTGCGAGCGTTCTGGCCGTCACCGACACCGCTCGAGAAAGCTTCGCTGGAGTGAGCTGGGCTTGGCGGCGGTGCGCCCGTTGCTGCTGCTGCTGCTGCTGCTGCTGCTGCTGCTGCTGCCACTGTCGTTGTTGCTTGAGAGACGAACTTGTCGTCCACAGGAGACACATCGAACCACCCCCGCAGCTAAGAAGGTCGTCGGTCCAGGCAAGGGGGGAAACGGTTGGGTTTGCGGAGGGGGTTGGGATAAGGGAGCGTTTGCGAGGAGGGGGATGAGAGAGAGGGGAAATTTTCCACCATCAAATACCGACAGCTTCCTGGCAGCTAGCTGGTTGAGCGGCGTGGTGCACACGACTCATGCAGCGCTGAGGGCCATGAAAGAAGGCGTTCGCAATGCACCCCCCCCCCCAACTTCCAAGCCTGCCAACGTGCCGTTGCACAGGGCTGAATGAATACCGTAGGTCGCATAAGATGCCATGGCCCCTGTACCGATATGCAACGCTCGACTACTCTGCACTAACAACAGTGGAGACGGTGTCGAAAATAGCGGAGTGGGAACCGTTTCGCCGAGAGTTTTCCAAAAAGTTGAAGCACATCATTAGGTATTGCATCCTCTTCGTCGTGGAGTAATCGACGTTTTTTTATTCGTAGCAGGGGATATGATATCTCATGCAACCTACGGTATCATTCCCGGCCCCACAGGATTACCTCGGGCTGAACTCCGCCTTCTTCTTCCTTGCCGGCTAGAGCGGACAGCGGGACCAAAACCTGGCCCTGCAAAGCGTCCATGAGGCTGTAGCAACACCGACGATCCCCGAGACCGATAACAACAAACACGGTACGGTACGTACCACGGAAGAGCGATGTTAGCGACAGGGGAGGGGGGACGCCTGACGGAAGCGTCAGAATCGTGCGTTTAGAAGCGTGACCTGCTGCCTTTCTGCTGACGCGTCTACCGGCCGCGTAGAAATCAAACAACAACGAGCACCTAGCTGTCGAATCTGACCCAAAACCTTGCAGGCTGCACCCTGCCACAAGAAGGATCCCCTGTCCCTTTGTGCCGTGCATCTTACAGCAGCAGTAGTCAGCGTGACAGACCACCGCCCCCAATGCCGCTTCTGCTCTCCCCAGGCAAGGTGATCGCGATATACCGACCCGGGTAACAAAAACACAACTGTCTTGACCCTATTTCCGTAACCGTGTCGTTTGGCCGTGAATCGCCCACCCTCTCTTTTCCGGTGGCGGAGAGCAATCAAGAATCACCGAGATGTACCGGCATGTCCGTTCCGTAAACCGTACACGGGATACCGCGCGCTCACCTGTTGAACGGGTTCGCGAAGAACACCGAGAACCGCAGGAACGTTCTAGACTCCTCGCCCGACCACGGCAAGCTGCCGCCCCCGCGGCCGTCTCTTGCTCTTCTCCTCAACACCGGCTGCAACACCGGGTAGACGAAGCACATGTCCTCCTCTTCCTGACCCGCCGTCGTCGATTCGGGGCGTTGCTCGGACTGTTCCGCGGACCGTTCCCCAGAACCTTCTACGTGCGTTACGGCGGCCCCCGAGGAGGCGTGTCTGCCCCAGACATCCATCATGTTCTGGGGAAAGAAGGGGAGAAGGAGGGCGCGTGGTGGGGCGGGGAGACAAGAAAGGCTGTGGGTCTGCGGGATTGCTGTATATTTCGTGAATCTTTGATGGCAGTTTCGAGGGGAGAAGCAAGGCCCTAACATGGAGGGCACAGAAGCAGCGGAAGCATCAGCCAGGGTCAGCTACATCATGGCTCCAATCCCCGCCTGAAAATTGTGCGACAGACAACGCTATAACCCGTCGTTGGACATCCGAGGACAATCTAGCACGATATCGACAGCAATACGCTATTCGCCCGCCGGTGCGCCATACCATACACTCCCCACAACTACCGCGGGGGGTGGGGCACAAAAGGCCATGGTACCAAAAAAGCGAGCGCCGGTGTTGCCGAATTTGCCGCCGCTGATTCCATCCACCTTGGGCATACCACCCGGTGCACGCATTCCACCGCTTCCTACTTCGCCGTCGGTACTACGTACATCTACCGTTGAAGTGTTTCCGTTGAGATTCGATACCACAGAGCCCCCCTCACCTGGAGAATTGCATCGCTCCCGCCCGACAGAAACCCGGGCCCCCTGCTCTGGTCCATCATCGACACGGACGACACACGCGTGCTTGCCTGCGCTCCTCCAACACCCCCCCCACCCCCCGTCCCTCCACCCCCGCCGCCGCCGCCGACCCCGACGCTCCCCCACACCGGGCAGTCCCCCGTGGGCTGCGGCACTGTCTGCCCGACGAGGTATTCCCTGGTGTTGGAGTGGTGGCCGTCGTCATCGCCGCCGGTGCTGCTGTTGTCGTTCGCGAATATTGGTTCATTGCCGCGGGTGGCGGAGGCGTTTCTGTAGGGCGGGGGT